AGGATATGTGTTTATGCTAGGTGGTGCACCAATTGCTTGGAATTAGAGAAAAGAACCAGTAGTTGCATTATCATCATGCGAAGCAGAATACATAGCTGCTTCTCTTTGTGCATGTCAAGCAACCCGGATGGTGAACTTGGTCGAAGAGATAACAGGGAAAGATCATGGAGCAATTACCATGAAGATAGACAGCATGTCAGCTATTAATCTGGAAAAGAACCCAATAGCACATGGTCGAAGTAAGCACATCGAAATGAGGTTCCATTATCTTCAAGAGCAGGTAGCAGATGGGAAGATGAATTTGGAACACTGCAGAACTGAGAATCAGATTGCAGACATCATGACAAAGGGAGTGCAAGTCGACGTATTCAGAAAGCTAAGGACCATGATTAACATAGACAATTTAGACACAATGAATTAGGTGGTGTGTTAAATTGTAATTCATATGTGTCAAAGAAGATTTGATTTGTTTTAGATTTAAATAGATTTGATTTAAGTCTAGAATAGATTTGATTAGATTTGATTTAGTAACAAAAAAATATTTTGGGCCTTGGGCTTAGGGTGTAAGCTCAATTATAAATAGAGGGAGTAACCCCTATTTTGAAAGTAAGTCAAGCAAGACAATTCATTGTAATCACAGAATTTGCAGTTGCAAGTGATTAAGAAAGTTTTCCACAGTTTGTGGGCAGAGAGAAAACTCTGCAGAAATATTTATCTTGTCTTCTTTTATTTGTTTTTCTCATAACTAATCATCATTGTGGTCGAAATTCATCATAGTATTAGGTGGATTTCCAACAGGGGCTATCCATAAATGTTTCAAGGACCACAAGAAAGTTTGGCCAATCGAAAACTAAGTGAAAAAATCATAATGCCACTTTCTTTCAAATATGGGCGTTTTCCCTTGGTTCTAGGTTCTATTATTTTCTACAACTAAAAATGTGAATAATCAATGATCAAAAATAAAATGATATTGTGCTCCAATATGAGTTACACGTCTCATATTAGATTGAAAATTATAAAAGTGAGATGATTATATATTTAAGATTTTAAGATTTTGGATTAAGATTATATCGTGTCAAAGTCATTTGAGTGGTTGCTCTTGACCGATTCTCTATGATCATCTCACACTTAAATTGTGGTATTTGATCTGATGATTTGTATAAAGGAAACAAATTCTTTATATCAAAGTTTTCTAACAATAGTAGTTTGGTGTCATGTTTCGTTGAGCGCAACAACGACAAAGCAAGTATGTTGGATGAAAAAATTGTTCGAGAAAGAGCACAATTAAATAAATGAATTGACTCATATTTGAAGAGAATATTGTTGGGGCACATGTAAGTTAGAGGTCTCATATTTGATAGTATAGTAAATGTTGAACAATATATACTATGCTATATAAGGGAATAGACATCATTTTTTTTGCCATAGACATCGCTATAAAGTTGCCTATTCCTGCATTGTTGTAAGTAAAGACAACGTTTTTTGTCAATGTAAAAGTGCTGCTTAATGTAGCCTTTAGGAAACACTTTATTCAATAAGCGCTCTCTAAAGGCCCATATTCCTGCATTGCTGTAAGTAAAGACAATGTTTTTTGTCAATGTAAAAGTGCTGCTTAATGTAGCCTTTAGGAAACACTTTATTCAATAAGTGCTCTCTAAAGGTCCCTATAGACAGCGCTTTTTACATCAAAAGCATTTTCCAAGCACTCCTTTAGACAACGCTTTCACTTTAGACAACGCTTTTAAAAACGTTATGTAATGTATATTTTTGTTCACTTTTTTTATGTTTTAGGCAGCACTTTCTTTAAAAGCGCTCTCTAAAGTCCATTTTAGGCAACATTTTTTTTACTTTAAAACGCTTTGTAATGCACCTCTTTAAGCAGCACTTTCTTTAAAAGTGCTTTTTATTCCCCATTATAGACAACCCTTTTCTGTTTAAAGTGTTGTCTGATGTTCACAGATTTTTTAATATATACAGCTTATATTTTAAGTGCTCTCTACAAATAATCACTTAAAATAAGCGATGTATTTCAAATTTGCACCAGATTTTATAAATTTGCAGTTTCAATCCAATAAGTATGCACCAAATTTACATATTTATATATACAACTTTAATCTAATATATATATATATATATATATATATATATATATATATATATATATATATATATATATATATATATATATATATATATATATATATATATATATATATATATATATATATATATATATATATATAGTTAAATCTGTTAGTTTTTTGTATATATATGCAAATGTACATATTATTATCTTCTAGAGCTGCTATTTTCTCTATTATCTTCTCTACAAACAACAACAATGAAGAATCTTAAATGAACTTGTTATCTCTATATCTTCTACATATGCACCTACCTGAAACAAAATAAAAAAAGGCACATAAGAACCAAGCTATATAACACTTAAATCTTATAACTATTATAATTTAACACAAATCAATGTAACAAAAACAAATCAAGAATCCGTTATAATCCACCATTAAAATTCCCCAATTTATACGATGATACAAACAAAACTTTATTTGAATTTAACTCCAATACCATCATAACTAACCTTCCACATAACAACAACAACATTGTAACACAATTTACCATACTAATGACGACATAGTATCACATAAAAACTCAAACTTATATATACTCAAAATTCTCATCAATGAAAGTGTCACAATACTTTATAAAACTCTCATCTCAATAATGTATTGATATCAATCCTCCTTAATTTCGTCCAATTGATCTTTTGAGTAAGTAGAACACTTGTATTCATCAAAGTACTACATAATATAACATAATATGATTTAGTTAAAACTAATTAATTAGATGAAATGTGTTAATTAGAAACCCATATCATGGTTGGAATCTCTATTTGACTCAAAAGAATAATTTCTTTCATAAATCTCAACATGAAATAACCGCAATCTATATCATTACGCTGACGAGGACAGTACACATAGAAAAATATACAAATATATATCAGAATATATAGTTTAACTTATTTTATCAAGTAGCATCACTTATATAATCAAAATTGTGAAAATGTACATGCACTCTGATCCATGTAATGTTGTTTGCTTTACTCTATGGTACTTGAGTATCTCTTGGTGATCGAAAAATTTGTATAACTCTAACAAAATATAAACGAATATTTAGAACAATCTCACATAAACAAATAAATAAATATACAAACGAATATTTAGAATAATCTAACTTATATATCAACTATCTTCTTCATATCTGGGTATTTTATCCAATCACCTTCTAACGAATCCAAATAATATACAATTTTTCTTATAGGATTAATCGCAACCAACAATTAGTGTTCAATGTAATATTAAAAAAGGTTAGATGGAAACTTTCTACGCAACGTTTAAACACGAAAAACAACTTTTATGTATCTTTGTTGGCCATAAATGCACGGACAAAATACTCTTTGACTTCATCTAGTCTTTGATCGATTAATCGTGAGTTGATATTGTTGGGAGATAAGAAATAAAATCTTTGTTCCAATTGATGCAGGCACATCAAGTTGTCATACATGAACCTTAAATAAAAACATCATTAATATTAAGACTATTCATTGAAATGAGTAAATAAATTGTTCAATTAATTAAATGAAGTTGACCGGAGTATACCTGATGTATGTATCGATAACACTGAGGCCTAATTCTGAATGTCCAAAAACTTGATCCATATCCTCTTTACTAATTGTTTCGCAATAGGAAAAAACCAAAAATACCTTCCTCCATAGATATATTACGAGTACCTCCTCCAGTCAAATCTAATATTCCTATTAATATTTGAAGGAACGACCTATAACAAGAAGTAGCCTTTTTTTTAGCCGCAGTCTTTGAAACATCCTTTTTTTGTGTGGAAATGTTGCCAATTTCAGGCTTCTTATTCCTACTGACTTGTTGCATCTCTTTAGCATGAATCTAAAGATCAAATGCATATAAGTTAGGTGAAGTATAAGATCATGGATTAACATTTTCTATATATATATATATATATATATATATATATATATATATATATATATATATATATATATATATATATATATATATATATATATATATATATATATATATATATATATATATATATATATATATATATATATCTTTTTTTGATGCAACTAACTCAATTTGCCGCGTAATCCCCTTATCTTTTGATTTGGATTTTGTAGGAGTCTAACATTACCATGAAAAAATGCACGCTAAATGGTCGTAACAAATTTGAATACTCAAAGGTTCATAATGGTTTTTAACATACCTAATCATCTATGCAAATGAGGTTTGACGACACTACGCCAAAAATGATTTTTTGTATCACCTAATTTAATAGCACTTTTAAAAAAAATGCTATTAAAATGGAAAAAACACATTTATAATAGCACTTTTTAATCGGGCGCTATTATATAATACAGACTATGTAATTTTGATAGCACTTTGTACCAGAACGCTATTATTAAACTTCTTTAAGATAGCATTTTGTATAAAACGCTATTATTTGACTACCTATATAATAGCATTTATTAAAAAGCGCTATGTTATATATAATAATGAATTAATTAATTAATTGATAAAAAAAAAACACATTTTCAGAAAAACACTATCTTCCTCACCGCCAAAACACTATCTTCCCGCATCCACTCACCGCATCCACTCACCGCCAAAACAAAACACTATCTTCCCGAATCCACTCACCGCCAAAAACAAAAACACTATCTTCCTCTGCTTCCTTCTTAGCCATTGATTCTCCCAACTGATTCACCGCCGTCAAATCTTCCTCTGCTTCCTTCGGTTTTCATTGATTCACCGCCGTTAGTCATTGATTTACCACCGTCATCCCTTCCTTCGGTTTTCACCCGGATCCATTCTTCAGCCATCGGATTCACCATCGATTCAGATTCAGATTCACTTCATTGTGTTGACGGATATTCGTGATTTTGAGTAGCTGTAATGAGGGTTTGTGAGGTTAAGTTGCAGTTGCGAGTTTGTGGTTAAACTGTTTGATGAAATGCCTAACTGAGTTTTTCATTTCAAAAAACAGATGGAGTTGACTTTAACCGAACAAGATGCCGCTCATTGGGTTTACAGAGGTGAAGGTGCTGCTAATATTGTTGTCTCATACACTGGTTCTTCTCCTTCTTACGTATGTTTATTCTTGTAACTCAATTTTGCTTAATTTAATGTTTATAGTTTAAGGCCAATTTGTATTGTGTTTAGAATTTATTTGAGTTTTTCTTATGACATTAAGCCCTTGTGTCTGTGTTTCCTATTTGGATTGGAAAATTCATTTGTGATATTTTCAGCTTATTGCAATAGAATTTGCATAATAGCTTATTGGATAAGTGTTTTCCTAGAATAGTTTATTGAGTGGGCACTTAGGGCTTCTTCAGATTGACTTAGTGTATGTTTGGATTGGCTACAAGATTCACAAAATCATGATCAATGATCGTGATTTTGATTAAAAAAATTACACTTTGGAGCTTCACAAAACCATGGTGCCACTTGGATTTTGCTGAAGTCACCGCTAATCCAAACTATCACCTATTTGAGTTTATCTACTTGTATAAGCATTTTCCGGGTTTATCTACTCGGGTTTTGACATGTTCATAAGTTTTTTTCAGCTTATTTTCTCATGCTCTTCATGGTGGCTTATGAAAAAAGCATATAGGTTATATGAAAACAATTTGACTTTCTTTTATCTCGTGTTATAGAAATAGATTATATGATAAGGTTCTATGCTATAAGCACTTAACTAAACCTTTTTATCCAAATAATTAAATTGTTTTTCCAAATGTATCTTACTTAGATTGGGAAAGTGATGCGCATTCGCAAGTCTCCAAGGAAGGCATCAGCATTACCGGGAGTGAGGAATACCATAGCTCTGTCTCCGCATGAACGCCTCATATGGAAAGAAGTACATGAACTTATTTCCTCTTCAGATAAGGAAATTGCTGGTCAACTATATGTCGATCATGTAATGAAGCCTTTGCTTGGATCCAAATATGTTGATGCTGGGGTATGTAGTCACTATTGCACTGTTCCTGCCACATCTTTTTCCTGTGGTAGATTGATGGCTCTACCCATTAATGGAATAGTTGTTGTTTGTATCGCATATTCCAATTTCCAACCATCTTTATCATCACCATTTTTTTATTAATAAAAATGGCTTTTGTGAATTGCCATATTTTCACGAATAAAAAGCAGTTAAGATTTTGCATGAGGAAGTTTTGTATTATGATCTCTGACCTGCATCTATTTTGGTACTTTCTAGTCTCACATTCTAGTGACCAAAGAATTCCTAATGACTGTTGAGAAGAATGTTGATAGTCAGCGTCCTGCTTCGCGAGTTGATGTTTCCCAGGTTGATAAGCAATGTGATTTTGCTCTTCTCATGTCGGATCATTCCATCTTTCCTCAAGGTATTGAGACACTTGCTTTACTACTTACCATTTCTCTGTTTTTCATTTGAATTAAAGATCTAAATATTAGCACTGTATTGTGTACCACTATCATACCACACATACCTAGGTCAGAAATCATCAATAGTATCTGTAAATGTGTGAGAAATTAGTATTTAAACTTTTGAAATTACATACACAGCTTGAATCACGTTGCATCTGATAGAAACCCACATAATGTGAATGAAGCACACGAGTGTTTAGTAGGCCAAAACATACCTCACAGCCCAAGAGTGTGGAAGGTGTATTCTAACTAAGAGCTGAAAAAGTGTCATGGAAAGATCCTAAGAGGAGCAAGATGGCAGTAAGATATTTGACTGCATTTTCTCCCTGATTAGGTTAAAATGGCTGTACAATACATGCGGCGGGTTATTGAGAAGAAGGCAAAGTTTGATATCATGAAACTGAACTGTGTTCTGGTAAGTATTAATTGTTTGTCTTTTTTATAGTAAAAAAATTATGAATGCAATTATGTAAACTTTCATTGATCATGTTTTGTTAAGCATTATTTTCTGGCTAAACGAATTTCTTTTAGAGACATCATTTCTTTTCGACTCCATTTTTATCGTAAATTAATGCTTTTAAAGCCTACAGGTTGCACCGAAGACATTCATTCCTGTTTTATTTGGACATGCAAGTGATGACAAATTCATTCAGCCACACCACTCCGATCTCATCTCTGAATCCTACGCGGTATTAATTTTACAATTATAAGCAGTTTGCATTTTCTCTCTCTTTGATAGCCAAAATATCTAACTTCTGTTTCTGAATTCGTAGGGTGATAAAAATATCATAAAATTTGATGGCGACCACAACTCTTCTCGGCCACAATTCTTTTATGATTCAGTTTCCATTTTCTTCTACAATGTCCTCCGTCCTCCTCAAGTTTCTATTGCTGAAAAGCTCGAGAAATATTATGATTTGGGGGATTTGAAACTCGGTTCCGGTGTGGATGAGGTATTTAGCGTTTGTACTCCGTTGTCTTGAAAAATATAAAAGACACTACAGAAACTAATTTGCTCTTTTTCTTTTTCTTTCCATGCTAGAGCGTATTATATGAGATACTCTCTAGTCTACGGTCTGCACCTACTGATGCTGCAAGTTCATCTTCTGCATTTCCAACAATATCTGAAACAAATTCAGTTACCGAACTTCTTTCGGAAGCAGCTCCACTGGCTGATGCAGTAGGTTGCCTTATCCCTCTGTCTCCATTATTTTCTTCATAAAACTTTGTTCTGTTTAGTTTATCCATTGCTTGTACTGCAGGAGCCTTTGTTTGAAGAAGATACGAGAGACAAAAATGATGAAGCCGCAAATGTGCAGGTCATCTTTATATAACCGTCTCTGAAATTAATAAATGGTCCGGGAATTATCCTTTCAATGACACAATCAATGGTGACAACAATGGTGGAAATTTGATGCTTTATGCTTCAACATTAGGTGGGGGTGACAGAAGCTTCAATGTTACTGATAAAATGGAAGTTCTTGTAGAACATCCTAAACTTTTGGATCATACCCTTTATGATTCAAAGCCAAAGTTTGAGTTTTTATACTGTGGATCATCATTGTATGGGAATTTGAATCCACAAAGAGTGAGAGAATGGATAGCTTATCATGTGAGACTATTTGGGCCAAAGTCACATTTTGTGATACATGATGCTGGTGGTGTTCATGAAGAGGTTTTAGAGGTTTTGAAGCCTTGGATTGAACTTGGTTATGTTACATTGCAAGATATTAGAGATGAAGAAAGATTTGATGGATATTATCATAATCAGTTCATGGTTGTGAATGATTGTTTGCATAGATATAAGTTTATGGCCAAGTGGATGTTCTTTTTTGATGTTGATGAGTATATTTATGTTCCTCCAAAGAGTACTATTAAAACTGTGGTTGATTCTCTTTCTCAATATTCTCAGTTCACAATAGAACAGATGGCTATGAGTGGCAAGGTTTGTCTACAAGATGATTATGGAAAAACTTACAGGTATCATTTTGCATTACTTGATTTAGATTTTTTTCTTCTCTTTTTTTGTTTTTGCTTAAATTATACTAGCCTAATAGCTTCATTGTAATGGATCTTGAGTTTGAGGTTGGATACTATTTTTTTCACCCTTGGATAGAGAGGGGACAAACCATTGTATTGTTGTGGTGTACATGCATTTGGAATTATTAACCCATTCCTATTCCTATGATATTAATTTTGTTTTACATAGTGTGCCAAGACAGGTAGATGTGGGACAGGTTTGACCTTTGTGGTACTGTGATTTGTTACTAAATTCAACCATATATTAATTAAATAAGTGAATAAATAACTATATAATATAGTAATTTGGTCCAATTTGTTCAAGATTCTTGCAACATATGTTGAAAGTTCAGAACAATTCTTTATTCAATCATCAATGTCTTCATCAATAAGATAGCTGCACTGCTCAGAATCATGTTATTTTCAGTAATTGAAAATAAACATGGTGACAGAATTGATGGTGATTCTCCCGATGCTTATTTTTACTGATTTTCTTTCATGTTATCTTTGTCCACAAGTGAGGTTTGATCATGACAGCTTTGTAGTGTGTAGGTATAGACTTCATTTGAGTATTTTAATATTCATAGTAACAACTATACCAATTAATTTGATCACAAGTCCCACACAATAGTTGTTAGATCTAGCTGTCTAAGTGTTAGTTGCTTGGTTTTATTGCACAAAATTCTTTTAAAATTATGAAAAAGAAAGATATCAAAAGGTAGCTAGTATTGTGATGGTGATTGATTTGTTTAATGTTGGTTTAAATATGTTTTGTTTTCAATTTCACAAGAGGTTTTGGTTTTGAATCCTGATATAAAATTGTAACATTGTTAAAAATAAGAACGTTAAATCCTCAACATCCCTATAGAAAGTCACGTTTAGGGTGTGCTCGTCTTGAAGCTGATATGGTAAGTATGTGTATAAATGTACTATACAATATTATAAAAAAATTTAATTGCTATGTTAATTTGTAAAAATGTATATACAGGTAGAAGAGTCAGAAGTTGGTGAGATAAACCGTAGTCAAGTGTGGAAGGCTGCCCGCGTCAATAAGAGCGGGGTGATTGATAATGAGAATGTTCAAAGAGTTGTGGATCAATGTGTAAGTCGAATTTTAGATGTGACACTATAGATGTTATTTCCAAAATGCTCACATTATAGATGTGACACTTTTTCTATACTCATCATTGTTACCGAATTTGTATTTTGTTAGTTAGTTTGAAGTCATTAAACTCGATTTTCCTTAATTAATTGAGTCTCTGTGTCTTATTTTGATAGAATAGCCATTAATTGCAACTTGTATCTAACTATTGGTTATTTCTTTTATACTTATCAATGTCAGGAGAAGTTAACAGAAGCTCTATCTGAAGAAGAGAGACAAGACCTTGGTCCCACAAACATATTATTTGAGGCTCTTAATCTCCCAAACTACTCTGGACGTGTTAGGACTTATGGTTTTGGGGTATGTTCTAGGGACATATTACCACGCCAAAATCGCCCCACACAAATGGATTTTGAAAAATTGTATGGCTTTTGTAATTCACTCAAAAGTAGATTGGAGGTGCTAGAGAGAGAAAAGATTGAGAGAGATAAGTTGGATAGAGAGAAGCTAGAGAGGCAACAAACTGAAGAAGTGGAAGAAAGGCAACCACCTCAACAAGTGTCAGAGAGGTTGCAACAACCTGAAAAAGTGGCACAGAGGCAACACCTTGAACAAGTGGTAGAAAGGAAACAACCAGAAAAAGTAGCTGAGAGTCGACTACCTAGTGATAAAGGTTTTTTGGTGTTTTGTTTAGAGAATTTGATTGTATGTTTTTGGATTTGGATTGAAGTACTCATAGATGGGCATCTACAAATTTGGCTATGCAAACGCCCTCTTAATATTCTATATGTTATGATATTTGGAAACAATAGGATTTGGTAATTTAAAATGTTATTTGGTATTTGATGGATCATAATATATATGCAATGAGTAACTTAAAGCGTTATTTGTGTTGAATTGAATATAGTTATTTTATATTTACACCAAAAAAAATGATTGTGTAAGAAAAAATATTGTACTGTACTTATTAAAAATATTGTACCAAATATGTACCATTTATTAGCACTTTATTTGAAAGCGCTATCAAACATATGTTATATATTAGCGCTTTTTGTTTAGAGTGCTATAAAAAAACAAACAAAAAACATGCAAAATACTGACTTTGATAGCACTTTAATTAAAACGCTATTATAAATTGGTACTTTAATAGCGCTTTTAAAGTGCTATTAAATAAGAAATATTTACAATAGTGGCGCGGTTAATAGCACTTTTAAGCGCTATCAAAAACAAAAAAAAGCGCTATTAAATAGCTTATTTGGCGTAGTGCGACCATGCAACATACAATCATATTGCCTCTCCCACCAATGTTGCATCTGAAATATCATTTGGTAAAGATAATGGTGCATCCCTCTCTAAAGCAATATCAATTGATACTTTCAAAAATCCAATAGGGAGGATTTTATGGTGAATTACTTCTCCTAAAGTGTTATACACTTTTCTCTTGCCAACCATGCGATAACTCGGTGACGATAAATAAAGCTGACAAGGTGAAATACCTTAAACCAATAATAAATCTGAAATTGTTAATGTGTATATATGTCAATTAAAAAAATTGTACTAATTCATAATAATATATATTACCTCGGGAAGTTTTTGTTGGAAATCACAATTGATACTATCTTTGTCACTAGTATCCTTGAACCTTGAACCTTTCCTTTCTGACTGATGTCTTTCTTTATCCTTTTCCAACTCACGATTTGTAGCTTTTAATTTTTATAACTCTTCCATCACTTCTTTATTGCTATGACCTTTCCTCTTTTTATGGTTACCCAAAGATGTTTGAGTCACCCCAAATCCCTTACCCCTCACACGACCGGTATACTCAGGAACATTTAATACTAGACTAAGCATGCTCCTGCAATCATGGTCTTCAGCTTGAGTTAAAGATTGAGATAGATTTTCCTGAAATTCATATGCATATCGAAATAACTTAGCGGTGATTAAAACTCATAGATTTTTTATGTTAATAAACTTTTTACTTAATTAAAGGAATACTGATATACTTACACATTGTTCATAAATTTGAAGCACACTTGCTTAACAACTCAATCCTTACCCACACGAGCAGCCTTCCACAAAACATGTTCCAGAAGAGATGTTTGTTGACTTTTCTTCTCTTCTAACTACACATTAAGATAAATAATAAAATAAATTGTAACACATGATGAACAAGTATATCATAGCATATATTTATATACTTACCATTCTTTGTTGTAAGCGTGCATATACCATACGCCATTTTTTGTGTGGATACGGGGGACTTGATGCTCGTTGGCGATTTACGGCACTCACATTCTAAAAATCCGAGGTTCTTTGTTTGCCTTTAAAGGTTTCCCATTCTTCAGGAGAAATCAAGCCTGCGTACATCTTTGGAAGTTCTGCATCGATAAAATTGTTATCGGCATCCCTAAGAAACTTGTTTGTTAAAAAAGATTGAAACCCTCTAAGTCTTTTTCCGGCCAATTAAAGGCAATATGTTTTTGCAATCATCATAAATGTTAAAAGATCTCTACGAAAAAAACATACATATATCGCATTAATAATTTAAAGACATAATCATCAATAAAAAAATGACATCACATATTGTACTGTATATCACTCCATATTTTTTCTTTAGCGGGTTTCAACTCTCGATTTCTCCAATCATCACAAGTGATTGGAACTTCTTTTCTGACAAGGGAATCAATGTAACTTGTCAAAATTGAACTGTTAGGCTCAATTAGTTGTTTGTCTTCATTCTAATGTACGTCAAATTTGAAACCTTTATCTCTTGCACGAATCATTGACTTCATAATAGTCATTCCTCGTCTAATATCATTCTCCATATCATGAACTGATTCATTTTGATCATTATTAGAAGCATCATGTGATTTTTTCCTCGTTACTAGCCATTTCACATGTAATATTAAAGAAAAACATAAATACCATATAAAATTCAAGTATCATTAAATGAAAAAACACAATATAAAAACATAAACACAATATAAAAACATAAACACAATATAACAATTTTATTGAATGACAGAACATATAATATTTTACTAGTACCGTTTTTACTAACATCTCTTTCTTTTCTTTTGACAATCGATTGGAAGACATCCATTTTTTATCCATGGTTTTAATACTAAGTAAGCTAAACAAAAACTTTATAATTGTTCACGCAGCTATAGCAAAAGAACAACTAATTACCTGTAGAGAAGTCAACAACTTCTG